ATATGCATCATGCTTTAGTCTTGTGTTTTGTTTGAGGGATCCTTGGGGGATGTACACATTATTTCTGATGTTTCTAATTCCATACTATTTTATTTTCATTTATTTTTGAGCTATAATTTTAGTTAATATAATAGAATGTTTTTGTTGAGCTGATTCTCTACATGGGTGATAGCTGGCATTTTGTTGATCAATGCCTTGCCTTACTTAGTACAATATGTATATACCTGTTATTTAGGCATTTGCGATTGACATTTTTCAGTAATTTGGACAATTAAATTTAAGAATCTCTCGTAATCACACTTTGTTGCAATTCTAGAGATATAGGAAATGTACTTAGATTCTACTGATTGTAAGTCGTAACCAGTTCAGTATCATTTCTTTTGTTTGATGAAATTGAATTTTATGCTAAATTGAAGGCTAGATGAACCTTTATCTTATAACTTTATATCGATTTGAAGGTCTAATTAGATGCTTTCGTCCATGAGTTATTTGTTTTAAACCTTTTATTTTATGTGATTCAATACTGTTAACTATATATTATATATTATTTTGTCAGTCTTGAGCGTTATTCATTGTCTTTCTCAGGATGTGACAGCAACTAAAGGCAATGAATTTGAGGATTACTTTTTGAAGCGTGAGCTGCTTATGGGAATATATGAGAAGGGTTTTGAGAGGCCATCTCCTATCCAAGAAGAAAGCATTCCCATTGCTCTTACTGGTAGTGACATTCTTGCTAGGGCTAAAAATGGAACAGGCAAAACAGCTGCATTTTGTATTCCTGCATTGGAAAAAATTGATCAGGATAATAATGTTATTCAAGGTTCGTCCTCTACTTGTGCATTTTAAGAATTCTCATAAATATAGTTGAAATGATTATGTTTATTATTTTTAGTTTTTTCACCTTTCTTGTAGCTGGCTGCTTGTTGGCTCACTAAGCAGTGTTTTCTTATTAAAACTTATGCAGAGAGGGAATTAGCTAATATTTATGATTGTTGATAGGGAAGGTCCAACTAGTTTAGTAACATTATTTCTCGAGTATTCACTTAAACAAGCTTGATTTAATGTTGTTGTTTTAATTTCCTTACCTTATTTCAGCATTTTGTCCATGGTCCAGAAAGATAATAATTGCTCATTTCTTTGACCTTTTTAAGTGTTTTTTTATGAAGCCACGTTTTATAAAAAAATTATAATCATTTTGTAAAAATCTAAAACTAAGTGTTTTAGTGCTATTCTTCAGAGTCAGAGATAGTATTTTTCAGTCAGCCCCCAATTCTTTGAGAATATATTTTTGGAGTAATTTCTCTTAATTTTAACTATAGGTTTTGAACATTTCTTTAAACAAACTTTTTTTTATTGGATAAGAAATATTTGATGAATGTATAAATTATGTATACTAGTCTTTTGCATATCCTATAATTTCTCCTTGTATGTATATATTGATTGTTGAACATTTGGCTGCCAATTTTTTTGTTGTCTTGTCCATGCGCAAATAGATTATGGTGTCAAAGTTTGAAAATAGTATTTCTTTGGCTGCGTTGTTGATGCATGATTAATTTATTTGTTATTTGTAGTTATTTAATGTCTATTATATTTTTGAATGAGCATTGATTTTAGGCTTCACTCATGTCTTGATCAATGCCTTTGTTATATACTGTAATGCAGTTGTAATATTGGTCCCAACTCGAGAGCTGGCTTTGCAAACATCCCAAGTGTGTAAAGAACTTGGAAAACATTTGAAAATTCAAGTTATGGTCACAACAGGTGGTACCAGCCTGAAAGATGATATTATGCGTTTATATCAACCGGTTCATCTGCTAGTTGGAACTCCAGGAAGAATATTAGATCTTGCAAAGAAGGGTGTTTGCATTATGAAAGATTGCTCTATGCTTGTTATGGATGAGGTAATTACATTTATCTTGAAATTTACTAAATGATAGAGATACATTAGCTAATTTATACTGTTTATAGCATTACAAAAGGGATTGAAGATGAGGTTAAGAAATGATTGGATGGTGTTAGCAGAAGCAATGGCTTTGTTTATTGTGACTCTGATTCTTGTTATAAATATTGAGCCAATGATCTTTACCTTTACATATTCATTCTCTGGAACTTTCAATATTAATTCTTCTGATATTCTCTTACTTATGAATTTAGTTGGAATAAAATTTTAGAATGTTTACTGGATGGTGATGTACGAAGTGATTGACATGGTTTATGTCATGTTTCTTGTTCCTAGGTTTCTTTATTTCCTCTTTGTACCTGTAACTTCTGCACCAATAATGTATTTGTTTATCAAACTAAAAAAGAAAAAGGACAATAACGAGGTTTTATATAATTTTCTCTCAGGCTGATAAGCTTCTCTCCCCAGAGTTCCAACCTTCAATAGAACAACTGATTCAATTTCTTCCTGGAACCCGTCAAATTCTGATGTTTTCTGCTACATATCCTGTTACTGTAAAGGACTTCAAAGATAGATATCTACGTAAGCCATACGTTATTAACCTTATGGATGAGCTAACTCTGAAAGGTATTACACAATATTATGCATTTGTTGAAGAGAGGCAGAAAGTCCACTGCCTAAATACTCTTTTCTCTAAGGTAATCTATGTCAAGATACTCTGGATTTTCCGTATGCCATCTTTGAATGTAGTAATAACAACAGTATCAATTTCAGCTGCAAATAAACCAGTCAATCATTTTCTGCAATTCTGTGAATCGGGTTGAACTTCTTGCCAAGAAAATCACTGAACTTGGGTATTCGTGTTTCTATATCCATGCAAAGATGTTGCAAGACCACCGTAATAGAGTATTTCATGACTTCCGCAATGGTGCCTGCAGAAATCTTGTTTGTACTGGTATGTTGCAGGCATTTTAGCATCCTGCTATAAATGAGCAGAGTCTTTCTTTTTATTCCGTTGATATCCGGGCAATTCCTATTTCCAACTGTTATATTGTTTCAGAAATCAGTTGAGTGGATGGTGAATAGTAGCATATTGTATATTTGTTTGGTTAGTGTAATTGATTAATGCGGTGGTGGTATTCAGTAATATTTCATGCCACATGTCCTTAGTTAAATATATCTGCTTGATGGAATTTGCTAAATTTTTTATCTTATTTGTCCCTAATAATTATAACTATAACTTTTCATCTCTCTCCCTTCTGAAACATTTACAGATCTCTTCACTAGGGGAATAGACATCCAAGCAGTCAATGTTGTTATTAATTTTGATTTTCCCAAGAACTCAGAAACCTACCTACACAGGGTATGCTCTATGCTCAATTTCTGCTTTCTCTCCACCCTATAATGGTTCTGTGTTCTTATGGATGTTCTGTTATGCAGGTTGGTCGTTCAGGGAGGTTTGGGCACCTAGGTTTAGCAGTGAATTTGATCACCTATGAGGATCGCTTCAATTTGTAAGTATTTATCATGTGACTTTTATTCAAAATTCCTATAGATTTCTCATGGGTTTCCATTTATTTTTTCCAGATATAGAATTGAACAAGAACTTGTCACTGAAATAAAACAAATTCCGCCACACATTGATCAAGCAATATATTGCCGGTGATTGGTGATAAATACCTTGATTCTATTCACAACTGTGGTGAGTAATAGGAAATTTTTTTAGTTTCATACTTATAATGGCCATTGTTGTTCTTGAAAAGGGGTTTTGATTTCAAAAGTAAAAATCAACGTATATATTTTTACATGCAAATATCTGTAAATAGATTTTCTTTCCCACTAATGAAAGTTGATGTGAAAATTTTGTTTGGAACACATGTACTCTCTTTTTTTAATGTATTTTAATTTCCATAATTAGTAAATCAAAGTTTAACCTTTCAAAACAGCTTTATCTATTGTCTCTTGGGGGTGGGGGTTCATTTGATATGGTTTATGTTTTCTAATTTTTATTGACAGTTATACAATTCAATTATGCAGTTGCTATTACTGATTTGTGATCATGTATATCTTTTTCACAGGTTGATGTGATTGTTGGTCAAGCAGGTGTGAATACTTTGTATAAGGATGCACTATGAAAATAGGGGAATTGTCAGACCCTTTGTTTAATGCTTTTTCTTAATTTCTGGGTTTTGAGAGCTTTTGAACACTATAATTAGGACTTTCAGAAAGTTTAATATGGGCTTTCAAATGTTACATAAATGGGGGTTCCAGTTTGGGTTTCCATGGTTTACATTTGCAGCTGTGTTTGTTAGCAGGTGTTATTCCAGATTTTCATTTCTCCAGTAATCCTTTTAACTGTTTACTTAGATGTACCTTACTTACTATGAAGACGTCCCTTTTGATTCTAGAATAATATGCTGTTTCTTCTGCCAATGTATTTGCAGTAGTCACTCTTCGCAGTTAATGTCTTCAATTGGTAGAATAAACGATTTGTACAAACCACTTACTCACATATTGGATTAACATATTTGAAATATGAATCATGAACAAGTGGGATACGGAGAAAGTGCATCTCAAGTTACAAAACGATCGAACAATATATAATAACAATCATAACCATAAACATAACGATGACACAATCATGTAACAGTTATTTCTAAAATCTTTAAAGTTTATATTAAAATTGTAATTGATGACTATAATAATTTGTCTTGATGAACAAAAATGGGAAGTCATTATGCTAATCCGGAGTGTGTGATATGGTTTTAACTGTTCTTCTCTTCAAATTCTTTTAACATTATTCTTGGGAGAAGGTACAGGAGTCACTAACAAAATCCATGTATTTTAAAGCATAACAATTTTACAGATTTTATCTTTGAAGGAAAGTATAAATCAGGGATCGCCAAAGTCGAAGGTACTCAAAGAATGACGTGAAACTTTTGTAGTGTAATTCCTTCCTTCAAATCATAATAAAACTGGAAATTATGATGACATGATTTAGCTTCCCTCCATATAAAGTATACTTTCCTTCAAAACTATCTTTAACTATATGAGGCTGTATTTGAATTGTTTAAAGCATCTTACCTAAGGCTGTATTTGAATTGTTTAAAGCATCTTACCTATTAGAGATTGTTCTATCACATGAGGATTATCTTCCACAATATTTTGTTAACGTTTTCCTTCTCTTGAAATTCCTCCTGGTTTTTGGTGAGATGTATCCTGAGTTCTCTTTTGTTGCTTTTCATAATATATATATATATATATATATATATATATATATTTCATTTCTGAAATTGATTAAAATAATTTGTTAACGTCCAGTTTTGGATCATATACTAACTGGGATTGTGCTATTTCCTAAAATCATATTGTTTTGTCAATAGCAGGGTGTAACAGAAAGAATTGGACGAAGTTACCAAGTGGACTGAATACATTCCTACATCTAGCTTTTTCTTGTCCCAACTATTTCAAAGGTTCAACTCCATTTTGTTATTGATATATTAATTACAAATAATAAACTTTTATACGATGCTTCAAATGATGGTTATAACTCCATATAAATCACCTATTCTTATATCCTAAAAGAGTTTAAACTTTCTACTATATTGCATATCCTTTGAATTAAATAATTTTGAGCGTATAATTTATGTTGTTTTATTTGTAGAGAAAGTTTTATTTGAATACATGTTAGCTTATTTATGTTATGTTTTACAGTATTCACCAAACAATGTATTGTATTTGTAATGACTGATTATTCATTCTTGAGGATACTCCTTATAAGCCTGATCTTATGCAGAATACTAAATACTTAAATTTTTCCTAATTGATCAGTGAAAACTATAGTTGGTAAATGCCTGAGGTATCATGTTCCATCAAGTTTTCTACTGATGCACGCTTTTTCTTTTATTGACATCATTTTAATCATCCTAGCATAATTTCCCGAACGTATTTTGCTATTGTAATTATTATTTTCTATTTCTTCTTTTCTTTCCTGTTTTGCCTCTAAAGGTAAGTGTGAGTGTACACATACACATACAAAAAAAATAAAAGAATTTCTATAGTAAAAGAAATTAGGTGACGTAGTATTTGTGTGTTTGTTTGTAGTAAAATGTCGATTCGAACAAACAAGATGAAAGCAGTAGCCGTGTTGATGAAGCAGTTGACGATAGCAAGGAACAAATTCCATGAAAAGGGAAGAGATGAATCATTTGATAAGAAATTGGAGAAGTTGAGGTTGGATCTGAAGAGAATAAAGGATGTGTTTGTGGAAGTGAAGAAGAATGAAGAAAAACTGCTGGACAAATTAGCAGAGGTGTATGGCCATCTTCAGAGGTTAGACCGTAAGAAGCTGGATGAAGACATGGAGGGCATTTGCAAGAGGATTAGAGATTCCGCTCACAATTTGCTCCCAACGCTTGTTTTTGACGACTCATATAAGGAGGAGGATGACAGGGGTGCCAAAATATCTCACTCGTCGAAACAATTGGTGCAGCCCCATCAGAGGCAGAGTTGGACTGCGGGAGATTTTAACCCGCTAGACAATCCATTCAACGATTTCTTGTTGCGTCTCCTAATTTTTCCTGAGAACGCTATCATAAGGAAAAGAATTGCAATTAATTTGTGGATTGCAGAGGGTTTGATCGAAAATACAGAGAAGAAAACAGCAGAGGAATTGGGTGAGGATGTGGTTCATGATCTTTTGAAATTTAAGGTGATTGTACGCTACGGTAGTACAAAGGATCCCCATGTCAATAAATTTCGAATTTCTCCTGACATCAAGTTTTATGTTGATCGATATATAAATTTTATTAGACCACCCTGTTTATTGCTTGATAGAAAAAAATTTACAATAGGTGGAATTGATACAAAAGGTGTTACTTTAATTAATTTTTTTAATATTGGTTCAAGTTATCTAAATTTTAAACCGCAATGGGTCACCGATCAATTGAAAGATTTAAAGGTGCTTCAACTAGGGCGTTGGCAAGATTCAGCTTTGCATCTCATTGAAGTTGGGAGTGAAGAATTCTTGAAAGAGTTGATAAAGTTAAAGCGGTTGAAATATCTGAGTCTACGTGGGATATCAAGAATATTCGAGATTCCATCCTCCGTTGCTAAACTTGAAAGTCTACTAATTCTTGATCTGAAAGCTTGCCATAATTTAGAGACACTACCTGATGATATTTCATCAATGAAAAGTCTGACACATCTGATTATGTCTAAGTGTTGCTTGCTGGAGGGAATGCCAAAGGGGATTGAGAAGCTCACTAATCTCCAAGTACTCAAAGGATTTTTAATAACTACTTCTGAAAAGACTCCTTGCACAATATCAGATCTTGCTAATAATTTGACAAATTTAAGGCGACTCAGCATACTTATTGGAAGTGAGGCCGTGATCAGGGATGGGGAGTTCCGAAGTTTGGAAAATTTTCCAGCACTGAAGCATCTTAAAATATCTTGGAGTGTGTCTGACCCAAGGTATGCTAAAATTGGTATCCGTTTGCCAGTAAGTTTGAAAAAGTTGCATCTTGAATGTTTTCCTGGAAAGAGTGTTGTAGAATTTCTTCCTGAAGAGATTTTTGCAGAAATACTAGAGCTAAATATAACTGGAGGAAAACTGGAAAATATATTTGTAAACATAATAAGGTGGAGGGTGAAAATACTGCGTCTAAAGTACCTTAAGCAATTGAATGTCGATATAGACGATTTGAAAATATTCTATCCTTCCCTACAATATTTAGAGATTAAACAAATTTCAAACCATTCATACATTGAGCATAGATATGAATAGGATGGTGATTGTAAAAGAGAAGCGAAGCTGATGTGTAAAATGTTGTATATACTTATTTTGTTCTCTCAATAGTTGTTATTTACAAAATGTTATTCCCAAATGTCTACACTGCTGTATATAGACTCAACAAAAGTTGAAATAATAAGGAATCAATAAATATCTATTTATCTCTCTATACATACAATTTGCTCACATATTTTATTTCATACATAATCTTATAGGAAAACATAATTTAAACGTTTTAATAAAAAATATGATATATTCTTAATTATATTTTATTGTATATACAGAAAGAGAGTTTATATTTATGCATTATATTATAAAAATAATAAAAAATTAAATTGAAATTATTGTAAGAAAATATTTTGAGCAAAATATTACAAGTCAAATATGGATCTGTATTTAACAATTTTGTATATTATGTAATTTCTTATATGTTTCACTTATACGAAAATGAAATGAAATAACATAATAGAAATAAAATAATTTAAAAAACAAGTTAAATAATTAAAATAAAATAAATTTGGATGACACGTAATAGTAATTAGTAAAGTATAGTACAATATATTATTAAAATTCAAATATAAAGAGAAAATAATTAAGTAAAATAAATCATTTTACGTTATTATTAAAAAGGAAAAAATATAAAAATTAGGATACATACGAAAATTAAATGATTGAGAAAACAAAAGGTGGTTTTATTTTTCATGACAGAGTTTTAATGTTGAAAATTACTATTTTTGTTTAATGTTCATATTAGAGGTCAATCATTTTAAATTATTCACTAAAAAAATAGAATATACTATCACTTATAACACACACTAGTGCACACAAGTAAAATAAACCTTTTATGATAGATGTTCTAACATAGTTTTAACAAAATCCTTGTATTTTCAAACATAATAAATTTATAGATTCTCTGTTTGAGGAGAAGTAAAAATCAAACTTTTTGGTGTCATTAAAGTAAGAGGTACTCAAAATGACGTGAAACTTTTGTGATGTAATTCCTTCCTTCAAATCCTACTAAAACTGGAAATTATGATTCCAAGAATTAGCTTCCCTCC